ATAGCTTTCTTACCGGGAAGTAAAGGTTGGAGTGTCCATGTACCTGTGCGTTCAAGAGCCTCTATTTCTCGTTGCATTGCTACTCTCCATTGGGGGTCATGTAGGGCTTCGAGGAAAGTGGTTGGTTCCTTGGATGTTGAAATAGCTCCCAAAAGGCACGATGCTGCTCTGAAAATTTATCATAATTTACATAATAAGATAAGGGATAAGGATTACCTGATTCAACCGATGGAGACGAGCAAACAACGGGAGGAGGGTTTATTTTCAATTCACAGTATTCAAGCATACGTCGTAGTCTTGATGCCAAACCAGGGGTTTTCTCTGGCGTCGTCTTCCCACATGAGCTTCTGCTGCCGGAGTATAAGATGACAGAGTAGCGGTATGCGGCAGTGATATTCTAGAATTTGATGAAGTGTCTTGTTGTATTGATGGGATGGAAGATTGGCCGACCTGATCCTCGGTTGGTGGGTTCGCATGCTCAGTCCGATCATGTAAGGCCTCTTCACATGCATGGTTGTTGGTGTGACACTTGGTGGTACTTTGCAAGATGTAATCATGTTCCTCCTCCTCATGTGCTTGAGAAGTGCGTAACCACGCAAGCTGGTCCAGGATAAGACTCTCATCATGGGATAATTTTGGAGCATGACCAGAAGCCTCAGGGAGTTGTTTATATGGAAAAGATGCCTCAAAAAAACGATGATACGAAATGTTGTCCATTTTCTAAATCAAACACTTTCCAAGCCCTTCTGTGAGTAAGCATATCCTAAAAACACACACTTAATTCCTCATGGAGCAAACTTATCACCCGTTGTGTTTTTAGAGTGAGCATAACATAGACAACCAAAAATCGAAGTTGGTCATAAAGAGGAGGCTTGTTGTATAAAAGTTCATAAGGAGTCTTGTTTCCTAGCAGCGGGGAAGGTAAGCGGTTGATAAGATATCCGGCCATCAAAATACATTCACCCCAAAAATAAATAGGCAAGTTAGCATGAAATCGTAAAGCCCTAGCCATTTCAAGAATGTGCCTATGTTTCCTCTCAACTCTACCATTTTGTTGTGGGGTGTACACACAAGAGGTTTGAAAAATAATACCATTGTCCAAAAGATAGGCTCGTAAACCTTGAAATTCCAAGCCATTGTCACATCTTACAACTTTCACACTTTTATCAAATTGACGTTGCGTCATGGCGAAAAATTGTTTCAGAACATTTCGGACCTCACTTTTCTCTCGTAACAAATGCACCCAGACAGCTCTAGAAAAATCATCCACCACAGTTGAAAAATAATGGCCACCACATGAAGCAGAAAATCTATACGGACACCACACATCACAATGAATCAATTCAAAAGGTTGACCAGCTCTAGCATTATGAATAGGAAACACGTCACGAGTTTGTTTAGCACGCAAACACGCATCACATTCGTTATTCGGAACTGTCTCAAATAAAGATTTATTCAAACGATTAACTAATCGCATAACGGACAAAGACGGATGTCCTAACCTAGAGTGCCACAATTGTCTTGAATCTAACGACTTGACTGAATGGGCTTGAAATTTGTCCAGACTGCGAAAATAATAAACTCCCCCACGTCGTTGACCCACTCCAATTGGCATCCTCGAAGGTACGTCATGTATCACACAAATATCATTAGTAAAAAATACATCACATTTCAGTTCCTCGGTTAATCGCGCAATTGATATCAAATTACATTTCAAGTCAGGCACAAGTAAAACATTTTTAAGTATTAGGGCCGAACTCAGTCGCAGATCTCCTACATGTGAAGCGTGGGTTACTTCTCCATTTGGCAGAGTCACCGGCACAGGGGTCAAATTTTCGGTCCTCTTCAAAATCAGTGCACTTCCTGTCATATGATAGGAAGTTCCTGAGTCAAGGAGTCACTCAATTGGATTTCTCATACCCATTAAATTATCTGCTGGAGATCCCTTGCAAGAATCCACTACGTTGAGTAGGCTCTGCCATTGATCATCATTAATTTCAGGTTTACGTATGAAGTCTCCACGTAAATCCACTTGGGTATTCTCATCTGCCCGTGCAGCGAAGACTAGTGCATCGGTTTCCCTTCCCCTTCGTTCATAGAGTCGATCATCGGTACCTGGAGGCATGTTAAACATATAAAGTATTTAAACCTAAAAATTGAAGAGATTATTTGGTCGTGATAATCTTTTCTCGTATTCGATAGATGGGCTATTGTCATGTACTTCCTTCGTCCTTAAATAAGTGCAACGGTCAACATTTCACACTTGTGGAGACACAACTTTGAAATTAAAAACTAATTTCATGCGTTAGTCTTTTGTTCTTAAATTAAACAAAAAAACTAATCGCATAACGGACAAAGAAGTATAATTTTGCATAATTGTATTAGTAAAAAAATTAAAAAAAATTAGATTTTGAAAATTTACAATGGGACAAATTTAACAATATTATTTTCATAAACAAATATTAATACAATAATAAATAAAATATAGTCAAAGCAGAACACGTGAATAGTGTAAATTTTCATATGTTGCATTTATTAAAGGGTAGTATATACAATTACATCAGCCTTGCTCTCCGTAACAGATGCCAACCGACTAGCTACATAAAAGGAAGGAAAAATTAAAATGGAACATGTAACTGTACAAAATATTCACAAGGCAAAATATTTACAAAATATTCTGCAAGAGTTCCCATTTGACGAAGAAAATTTTTGTCCTTGAAATCCTCTCTAGCTATTCACTTTTAGTAGTTTAAAATGTCGCCCGATAGGCTCCCAAACAATTAACTTTGTTTAGTCTTCACCTCTAGCTGTTTGGTGGTGCTTGCATTTTTCCAGGTGCTACTCGATCATCAGTCTACTTTGATTTGCTTATGCATATCTTATATCTTATATACAATCTTATAATCATCAATCAAGGTTAGGGCAATTTGGGTAGGAAAAAAATGTTGGTGTAATCAGGTTGCTTAGTAGAGTTGCACATTAGTCTTTATCTTTTGTACTCTTTATTAATATCCTTGTCTTTCCGTTTTATTCCGTCTCTAATAGTCACCTCCAGCATCCAGCAGTTACGGCTCCCATTTTTCCGTCTGTTTGGCGCTAATGGCTGTTCCTCTTCGGACTAAGCATATGCGTATTCATTTATTTCGCCAGTAATGGTTCCAATTAAGATCCCCTTCCATTCCAAATTTTATTAAGCTTGTAATTGATCTCCGACTTCGTCCTTTCATGTTCTTCTCAGGCGACAATTATGAATGGTGGAGAACATACCGGAGCAGACTGTTCTCTTGTGGCGATTATAAATCTGATGGTGTGAAATTTTTTCAAAGCTTCAGCAATTCCTCGCAGCCTTGGTACTATAAGCAGCTTCCAATCCCTGCTTTAGGGCCCGTTTGGTAACGGTTGCAACGGCTGAATAGGCTGAATAGACTGAAAAGACTTAATCTGTTAAAGTGAAAGTGTTTGGTAATATGTTGGCTGAAATGACTGATTGAGTGTAAAATTACTATAAAGGGTATTAGCTTGTTTGTGTTAAATATATGGGTATGATCTTTGTTAGTAAATTAATTTTGCTTATTTAACTTATGACATCAAATTTTTTACTCCTATGTTGAGTTTATATTGTTCTATACAAGTTTTATCTTCCAAAAAACACGATGTTTTCTGAATGACTGACATTAGTAACATGTGTAAATTAATTTAAAAAATACACTTTCAATAAAATATATGGAGCATTAAAAAGCTCACATGCATTGAAATTAAAATAAAAACAAAACAAAAAGTACACATACGTATTTATTGGAGATATTTAGCACAGTAAAGTACGTAGTATTTAACACCATACTCCAGAGCACCAAACAACTCATCGAAACTACATGCAACGGCAGATGGATGTGTTGACTTGATGACTTCAGATATGTATCCAACGTTCTTTCAGGTATAACAGAAGGGTAAAACAGGTCTTTTTGGTCACCAACAGCAAAATAATAAGAATCAGCCGAAAAAGTAAGTAAACGGTTGTTTTTTGAGCTGATAATAAAAATCAGCCCAAACAGCAAATTCAGCTAGTGTTTGGCAATTTTTTTTTATACTTTCAGGCTTATCAGCCCATTTTGGGTGCTCCAAACGCCCTCTGAGTCCTGTAACCCCGTTTATCACTATATCCATCATTTTCCATCTTTAAAAACACAGTCCAAGTGTTGTCATAAATAATACAATCAGTTTGGTTCAAAAATGCGGATCTCATTTTTGTTTTTGTATGAAAAGTCACAGTAAGCTTTATTTGGAGGATCTATTATGTAGCACACAAAATACTCTGTCAAGTGTTCAAATAAATTTGTCTGGCTTTGAGCCTATGTGTTTTTTATGGTTGGTTAACACAATTCTATGTAAAGAGTATGTAAAGTTTTAATTGGGAGAAGTGAGAACGGTTGGAGCAATAAGCTAAGCAAGTTGGTTGAGGGGAAATGTGGTCATTAACATCCGAAAATCTAACACCGATGGATATATGGGTTGAGCTTACTTAGGAGTGGCATTTGGAATAGACATGATTGTGAGATGTTAGATTCAAAGATTGGTTATTATAAATGCCCTGTTTTTGTCCGGTTATTATAGTCACTTTTGTATATAAAGTGACTGTATTTGTTCCTTAAAATTCAAAGTTCCAACTTAAAAATTTATATTTCCTTTTAATCCATAACTTAGATAATCCTTTTAACAATCATTTTAGATGTTTAGTTATTTAATACTTTATATTCTATATTTAGTTTATATAAGGTGAGATTATAAAATAATCTCTATACTACTTGTGATTATATTCATTTCAGGTGCTTAGTTGATTTCTTCCATTTGCTTGATAAATGATACAAAAATTCAACCTACAACCGAATTAAGAGGTTAACCATTGGCTATATTCCAACTAAATACAATGGCACAAATTGTAGAAGAAAGTTTCGAATTCTGGGGTCATGTTGTACCATACAATTTGGATTACACAATGGGCTATGCAATCCCCCCAAGGCCCCAAGTGATATCATAACATGCATGTTGTTCTTAAATACTATCGTATGTTCTACCAAAAATGATGCTTTTGGTAGATGATGATCTGGATTGATTTAAAAGCTTGTGTAGAGTAATTCTTTTTTGAAGCATGTTGGGTGTTTGTGAATAAACCTAGCTAAGTGTATACACCTGCATAATTGTTCTTTTCAATTGAAACATACACCTGCATAAATGTCATTTTCAATTGAAACATAAATAAGTGTAACTTAGGTGAAAACGACTATTTTTTAAGCATGCCGTAAGAGCTTAATGTGTAAGAAGTACTTAAATTTCATTGAAACATACGCCATGGCGTGCTTGCTTACAATGCTGTTTGTGGCAAATGTTGTGCCAGAAACCAAGAGAAAAACACGGGAGGAAATCCAGGCAACCATCAGCTTATGGCGGCGTACAAGCTAACCCATAAATGAAGAGAACCATTATTTAAACAACACTTCTACTGCACTGGAGGCTAGCCTGTACCATGATCATGAGATGGATTTCAAAGATTTGGAGCCAGAAACAGTTTGGTCCGAACATGAAAGTATTACAAAAGATGTTTGTATCAGGTAGCTATAACAGTACATCTATACCAATATTCCGCCATTATACGGTTTGGAGTATAATCATCTTTATAGCCAATAGTATGGTGCAGCCCAAATTCCCAAAAACGAAGAGGCGGTGAAATGTTGAAGACAAGGGGGACTACCTGCTGCGTGATTCCGTGAGCGGCTGAGCGGTGACTCCGTCAGTTCGTGACTCTTCAAGCTTGTGAAAAGAAAAAAAGAAGTGAACGTCTACAGAAACAGTTGGTGGAAGGGCAAAATGGAGCAGAACGGGAAAGAAGAAGAGAATGAAAAGTTGCATGCTTCTCGTCGATCGCCAGTGGAAGGAAAATACTGGTAACCTTATTTCAGCAACCAATGATGATAAGCTAAGGGACCTCTTTGATCAAATCAGGACTTCCAAAACTCCTGTAGTTATTAACTATGGTGCATCTTGGTGCCATGTTTGCAGGCAGATACTTCCAGCATTCTGTGAGTTGAGTAACAGCTTCCCTAAATATCGTTTGTATATGCTGATATTGATGATTGTCCAGAGACAACCCAGCATGTCCGCTACACGCAAACTTTCCATTTCTACCGTGATGGGGAGAGGGTTGATGAGATGTTTGATGCCGGCGAAGAGAGACTGCATGACAGGCTCTGGTTGCACTCTAAGATACATGGGCTTGGTTTTATTTGGTTGCACATCACTCTTGGATGGAAAATCTCTAGATTTTTGAACAATTGATGTTATCACATATATAAATGTATCTCCATCTCGTGAGTGTTTAAGCTCCAATGAAATTAACAAAAAAAAAAAGAGTTTTATTTCATAACAAACAACAAGCCAATAGTATGGTTTAATGTTTAAATTATTTGGTTAAAAAAATTCAACTGTCATCATTTATTATCATGCATGTCTGCCTAAATGATTCGACATTGTAAAATACGTAGACTTCATTTAACATGCATCTTTCCTTTTTCTTCCTTTTCAAGGCTAAAAGTTTATCCTAGACAATAATGCACACAAGTTATGTGTACCCTCTAATAGAATAATTTCATCTATTATTTCTTTCCTTCTAGACTTAGTGCATGTTTGGCACACATAAGTCACTGCCTTCTAGCTCTTGTATTGTTTAAAAAGTCTCTAAAAGCTTTTAGTTGTGTGTTTGGCATGACAAATTTTAAGAGCTTCTCGAAAAATAAAAGATCTTTCTTGAGATGCTACGAGGAGTAGCATCTGAGAAAAGACCGTGACTGTTAGTATTAATTTGTCCTAACAGCTTGTATACCAAACATGACTAAATCAAACAGCTCACTTTTTACCAAACAGCTACCACCTTTTCTTTTTAAGATCTTTTCAGTCACTAAAAGCTAACAGTTACTAAAAAGCTCACAAAAGTATCTTTTCAGCTAGTCGTGTCAAACATACCTTTAAACTACTTTAATTTAGTGTTAAGTAAACTAATATCAGGATTTCATATTTATAAATGGAAATCATTATTTTTTTATTTTCTATAATTTATTCTAATTTATTGCATTTTGCTCTTAAATTTAAGGATACTGTGCTAAGTGATACCGTCTTTGGTTCAAGTATCCACTAAAGTTTGACCCCATGCTTATTTTCACATCCTTTTGTCCACTAAAGTATACCTTTTTTTTGCAGTTGTTAAGAAATGATAATAACTTTTTTATTTTTGCTCCGATTTTTATAAAATTTATATCAATATTTTTTATTTTTCATGACCTTTCAAATGAGACCAATATTGCTTATGAAATTTTAAGAAATTATCGAACTATTATATTAATGAGTATTGGATTATAAAGAAAATCGAACTAAATTTGATATAGAAAAATAATTGTGCAAATCACAATTTATCTTAAAATTGTGTATATAAAAAATTTATTGTATTATGTATTTATACATGTGAGTTACATATTTTTATACGTGAAGTTACATATTTTTACACGTAAAGTTACATATTTCTACATGCAAGTTACATATATATACACATGAGTTGCATATGAATTGCAGGGAGATGATAAGTTTGTGAAATAGAAGATCGAAGCTGTTTGGGAGTGGATCAGTGGCCTCAGTTACATTTGATAATTGAGTTACATCTTTTTATGAGCGAGTTACATCTTTTTATAAGCAAGTTACATATATATACACACAAGTTGCATTTGACCTGCCTGAACGCGAGTTACATATATTTACACGTAAAGATTTGTCACATACCCGATCGGGTATATACTCATACCCGATCGGGTATTGACGTGCACTTTGTCACGGTGCGTCAAAATAAATTCAATACTAACACTTATACGTAGTATAGCGTAGTAGAGTTCGTATCCACAGGGAAAGGAATAATTTTCTTTTTTATGAACTAGTGAATAAAAGGAGGGTTTTGGGATTGAGTGATTTAATTCAATTAAATACGAAGATGAATGACTTATATGAGTTTTAATTAAAAGATAAAAAGGACTTGGCATTGCTACTTTCCACTTGTTGATATATTTTAGTCGGTCATTGTTATATCTATAACTTATCTCCTCTCGAATACTCAATCGAGGAGTATATCCAATTCATCGAGGTTAGTTATTAACAACGACCGTTCATTAATAACTCTTACTATTAGTCAAGTATAGAACAACGCCATATACCGACTTGATAGTAGCATTTAATCTTTCAACTCCTTGATGAAATCAATTGAGATTGATAACCTCAACACAACGGTTTCGGTTTAACCAACAAAATTAATCCCTCTTAAGTTTATTAACCACGACCGTGCATTAATCAATGTGGTTAATAATGCACGACCGTGCATTAATCTCTTAAGGTTATTAACCATGACCGTGCATTAACCTCCGAAGTTAGAAGTAACTTCGTTTTATTAATGCACGGTCGTGGTTAATAAACTTAAGAGGGATTAATTTTGTTGGTTAAACAGAAACCGTTGTGTTGAGGTTATCAATCTCAATTGATTTCATCAAGGAGTTAAGAGATTAAATGCTACTATCAAGTCGGTATCTGGCGATGTTCTATACTTGACTAATAGTAAGGGTTATTAATGAACGGTCGTTGTTAGTAACTACCCTCGATGAATTGAATATACTCCTCGATTGAGTATTCGAGAGGGGATAAGTTGTAGATATAACAATGATCGACTAAAATATATCAACAAGTGGAAAGTAGCAATGTCAAGTCCTTTTTATCTTTGAATTAAATCTCATATAAGTCGTTCGTATTCGTATTTAATTAAATTAAATTCCAACAATCCCAAAACCCCCCTTATTCACTAGTTTTATAAAAGAGAATTATTCATTTCCCTAGTTGTGGATACGAACTCTACTTCACCTATACTACGTGACAAAGTGCCCGTCAATAGTAATGCATATTGTTTCAAGTATGAGTGCATACACATAAAATTGCACACCCATTAAATTTTCAGTGTCTATTTTCATCTTTAAAATTTTCACAACCGCTATAAAGGTATCAAGGTGCACACATTGATTTTTAAAGTGCAACACTATATTTTAAACGGTGCACATGTGAATGGCATAAATAATGTTCAAAAGTGCACAAATATACAAGAAAAGTGCAAGGTAGTAAATAAAAAGTGCACAACTAGTTGAGAATCTCGTACAATTATATGTTATGCATTTTTAATAAATTATTAAAAAAACCAATAACTGCACGCTTTGTATGCTCATCATGAAAATATATAATCGTGCTTAACTTTTAAATTCAAATAGCACTTCTTATGAAATTACGTTGCACTCATCTCAAACATTTGTACAGTTTAAAAAGTCATATTTGTCTTTATAAAATATTTACATACGAAGTATTATATAAGAAATAATTTTTCTTATTAATAAATTAAATATGTGAGCGTTTTTAACGATTAAAAAGTTTTTAATGGAATCTACTTTAGCTTTCTCATAATTCTAGGGTTTGTTGCATTTAATGGTTTGAATGATATATATGGAAAGTAAAAATTTCAAAATAACCGTGTATAACATTTGATTAATATTGATGAATAGTAGGCATCAATTAATGCTTGGGTTGAATTGATTACTTTCCTTTTTCCTAGACCAAATCAATAGGAAATTGTTTATTCATTTTGATCCATCCGATTGAGATTATTGAAGGCCAGATTTCATTCTTATTTCTCTCCTCAGGCTCCTTTCTACTCACCAGAACCGTTTCTTATATATGTATGTATGTATGTATGTATGTGTATATATATATATATATATATATATATATATATATAGGGGTGAGATCACATACTAACCATTCCTCCCATGCTAACCCACAAACTATCAAAAACGGTGCATCTTTACATTATTTGTACTGCATATTGAAGTTCAAAGTGTTGCATATTATTTGTATTGCATATTCAAGTTCAAAGATTTGCATATTGTTTTTATTGCATATTGAAATTCACAGTGTGCATCTTTACATTATTTGTACTGCATATTGAAGTTCAATGTGTTGCATATTATTGAGTTAGTATTTTAAGCATGGTTAGTATGTGATCTCTTATCTATATATATATATAGATAAGATGACATTTGACGACCTTCCCGATCGAATTTTGAGCTGACATTTGGTATGGACAAACAAGACTTGATGAGGAACATGCTCAAAAAATTTCATCAAAAAATTCCACTGGGAAGGTGCCCAAACGGGCTCGGCCGGACGGGGTAGCCCGTCAGGCCGGCCTGACATGAAGTTTTCTCTATATATATATATGAGGAAAGTTCATGTCAGGACCTCCAAAAACGGACCTCCATACGGACCTCGGTGTTTGGGCCCCTTTCCACTTGAATTGTTTGATGAAACTTTTTGAGCATGTTCTTCATCAAGTCTAGTTTATTCATACCAAATTTCAGCTAAAAATTTCATCGGGAAGGCAGTCAAATGATTTTTGGAAGTTAACTGCATTTTATATGTATATTTTGGTTCTCAAAATCTAGGACTGGTCCCGTATTCGTTTCAAACGGTACGATTTCGGTACATGACAAAAATCTATAGAACCGTTTAAATAACTGGTATTCAGTTCGGTACCATTACGGACGATTCGGTACCGGTTCGGGTTTTATGCCCACCCCTAGTATATTTTATAGGTCATGGCTAGACAAATGTCTGTTGGAACTTAAGGAGTTAAGGAAGCTAATTAGTTACGTTTTTTAGTTTCCTTTCATCATATATGAGTTCAATGATGAGATCATATATGATTTCATATTTTTGGGGTAATTATTACATCGGTTTTCTGCAAGAGTTCCCATTTGACGAAGAAAACTTTTGCCCTTGAAATGCTCTCTAGCCACTCACTTTTTGTAGTTTAAAATGTCGCCCGATAGGCTCCCAAACAATTAACTTTAATTTGTTTAGTCTTCACCTCTAACTGTTTGGTGATGCTTGCATTTTTTCAGGTGCTCTTCATGGTCTACTTTGGTTATGCATATGTAGATCGAATACTTCAATTCGTGTGTAGTTTGTATATTTCTATCTAGTTCTGAATTGATCCAAACTGGACTAATTCGAAAATATCATTCGTTCCTACTTCTAATGTTGTTCTTACTTTGCATATACTTCGTATATGATTCTAGTTCTGGGTATTGAAATTTCTCCATAAGTTCACTACTCCAAAAAGGGCATATCACGTCTCACATACAAGGTTTGTTATTAAAAAGCCGTCATTAAAACACCTATTTGACCAATCAGAATGTTGTAGTTGAATTACTTAAGTCTAAATTAAAAATGATATACCTATTTGGACCAATCAAGTGAGTGGTAGGTACGGTACCCCCATTTTTTAAATGGGTACCGG